CACTGCCGCATCTAACGTTAACCCGTCGGTGGTAGAAGTCTGAATTGTCGGTTTCATTCCTAGGAGGCCTCGCCATCGTTCCAACCGACGGTGGAAGTATCACACGGTCGCTTCTATCGCTACGGCAGTGAAAGTGGTGAGAGTGATAAATCAATCTGTAGTAGTGTCAGCCACCACAGCGGAACACAAGCCGTGCTCATCCCCACACTGGAGTATGTAGCAAGCCGACCTCACCCCAGGTCGGATCTATGCCAGGTACAACGGAGGATGCCAAGCCCGACCTGCGGTAGAGGATGATGAGCTTGATTTATAGTCATGTGGACAGAGGTTGATGACAGGGGGTAGTGGACACAAAAGGGTACGGCGTGGAAAGGGGATGAATCAGTTCATTTATTTTAGGGCTTCACCATTGCAGGCAAACAAACTTGTTGGCTTCAACCAAAAGCGGCGGTCCACATGAGCAGAAACAGCCAGAGCTATCAAAACTGCCAACACAAGTTGTTAACCTAAGTCTAACCATACATATGTGCTTTATTCCACATGCTAGAAAAGGCATGGTTTCCAAACATGCAGTGGCTCCCTCGCTGCAACACAATCTTTGATGAATGCTTGCGTCTTTGTCAGACGAAGGAGTGATCTTTGTAGGAGTCTCTGACGATCTATAAGGCTACTCCTCCCTATGACATGGATGTTCGCTGCAGACGTGGACGACCATGCTGGTGCGTTGGAGAAGGCCTTAGGAGGAGTTGAACCTGCATCTAAGAATATATCTTGGACAAACCTATCAATCGTGTCACAGAAATAAACACATGAAACTAGGTTCATCCCTTTTCATCTCCTGCAGAAACAAACACCTCTAAAAACAAGGACAAGGGCAGATTTGGCCCGTGACCTATGGAAAGTGGGATTCGACCCATGCCAAGTAAACTCTTCATTCGGCACAAAGGTCAGCACTCAGCAGTCAGCACCTCCCTGTCGTCCCTGTACGTACCTCTGCACTAGCAGCTTTAAGCAACCACGGCAATACTCGTCCTGTTCCATGAGAAGGTGTCTGCAGACCAATCCTAGTCGTAAAAGTGCGTGTGAGCCCTGGATACGACAATACACACAACACACCGTCAGGTTGCGCGCCCAGCTGCCCGCTCCAATGTGCACTGACCGTGCGTCCCTTCCCTGGCTTAACTACCTACGAGAGGCCACGCGACACAGAAAGGGCATAAAAAAATTCGGTACTGATGGTCCTCACCAAGATGTGCAGCTGACGCGTGGATTATGGGGCATCTGATTTACCATGCGTGTGGTTAAACGATAGAGGTGGCCCACCTATCAAATGAAAAGTCCGCACCACCACGTCCTAGTAGGTCCTCGCCTTTTTTTTTCCCGAAAATGCGTGGACATGGAGGAAAAATCCGCATGCAAAACCGTGCATGCCGACTGCCGTGGGCGCGACCCCGCGCGAACCGAAATAAGGAGACTGGAGACGAGAGGAAAGCGGCGAGAGAAGCAACAGACGGCAGGGGGCCGAGCGAACTCGTCTCTCCTACTGTCAAACGCAGCCATCCGCGCGGCCGCCGCCGAGGAAGTAACGGGCGGGCGCTGGTTCAACATCCGTTGCACTCGCCAGTGACCACTGACCACCAGACTGGTTTCTCTTGGAACAGGCCGGCCGGGGTCGTCGTCGTCCCGGAAGGTTGTTTCTATTATTAGATTACGAGACTTCACTCGGATCGACGATCGATCGATCGACGCATGCCACCCTATTCTCTCTTCTCCCAACACCGCGAAGCTGTGGTGGCGTCGCGATTTTTCTGCACTGCCAGCCCCCCCAGCAGTCAGCACTGCTCTCGTCTCCTCCTCATCTCCTTCTCCTCCTCCTGTCTTGGACGATCTCACTGGGACTGGAGGGTTATTAGAGTGCCTCGGAGAAGATGGCCGACGACAACAACGGTGGCAACAGCAACAGCGGAGGCGCCAATGCGAACACCACCGCCGAGGTTCAGATACAAATCCCGGGTCAGTTAAATATGTTGCTAGCTGCTCCATGTTTGATTTGATCTCACGTTTAATTTATTATTATTATGTTCTTTGTCGGCCACTTGATCTATACCATTTCACTTGCACGTTGTTTCTCTTGTATATCGCATTTTTATTTCCTTGGATTGGAGAAGTTGGGCGAGTTCTTTGCAGGATTTGAATTTCAGCATTTAGTATCTTTTCAATGCGTGGGATGGTTGTTCTTATTCTACAGTTATTTTCTTTTTAGAATTTTCGAAGGCTTTTTTTTTTGCAAAAGATTGTGATTCAGTGCTCTATATATCGTCAATCACACATAATGTAGATATGGAACTATATATAAAACCAGCACAACGTTCTCGTTTTTCCCATGTAAAGGTAGTTTTATCATAATATATTTTCACAGAAGAATGAAAATGCTACTACTCCAGATATTTTCTATTAACAGCCATGTTACCCAACAGGGGGTAATCTTTTCTCCTCCAAAACTATACAAAGGGTGTGCGCTAGTAGCATGACCTCATGACATTTCATACCATAGGACCCTAGCATGTTAGTTGTATGAGAGCTAGTGAGGGACTTTGGAAACTTGAGGACACATGTGAGACACTTTATATTTATTTTTGGGGCCTATATTAGCCTAATGTGTACAATGTTCACCTATTTGTACTTTGCTAAAATAAAAAGGGAGGTTGTTACTCGTGTTAAATGCAAAACCCTGAAAGAGAATTTTTTTGTCTGTCCACTTCGTCTCTTAATCATTAGTAACTTCCATTGTATCCATTATGAACCGCGCAGGACCATCGAAAACCGAAGCTCCTGCAACTCAAGAAGGACCATCGGGAAGCTCAAAAGCTAAGAATTGGAAAAGGTGGTTTGTGGTGGCAGCGGATGCAATCTTCCTCATTGTTGGTCAGACATCAGCAACACTGTTAGGGAGATACTACTACAGCCAAGGTGGCAACAGCAAGTGGCTATCAACATTTGTGCAGACTGCTGGCTTCCCTATATTGTTCTTCGTCTTGTTCTTTTTCCCTTCAAAATCGTCTTCCAGCGAAACTCCGATCGGAAAAACTACCATGATATATATTGTCTTGGGGCTTATCATAACCGCGGACAACATGATGTATTCCCATGGGCTGTGGTTTCTTCCAGTCTCAACCTTTTCACTCATCTGTGCTAGTCAGTTGGCCTTCAACGTCTTTTTCTCATACGTCTTAACCTCTCAGAAACTCACCGGTTTAATCATGAACTCCGTGGTACTGCTTACCTTGGCTGCTTTACTCCTTGGAGTCAATCATGAATCTCATGGACCTACTGGTGGTGTCATAGGAGGAAAGTATCTTGTGGGTTTCCTGTTGACACTAGGAGCATCAGGCACCTACGCACTTATCCTTTCCCTTATGCAACTTACATTCGAGAATGTGATCAAGAAACAAACCTTCTCAGCAGTTTTAAACATGCAGATATATACTGCACTTGTGGCAACTTTTGCTTCTCTTGTTGGACTCTTTGCAAGTGGAGAATGGATGGATTTAAAAGAGGAGATGGATAGGTTCCAATCAGGAGAGTTCTCCTACCTGATGACACTGGTGTGGACATCCGTGTCTTGGCAGGTTGCTTCTATTGGAGTGGTGGGCTTGGTTTTTGAGGTATCGTCCTTGTTCTCGAATGTGATCAGCACATTTGCTCTACCTATTGTCCCTCTTTTTGGTGTGATGGCGTTTCATGACAAGATGAATGGAGTCAAGATCATAGCCATGCTAATTTCGATATGGGGTTTTCTTTCATATCTCTATCAAAACTATCTCGATGATAAGAAAGCTAGAAGTGCATAGGGGGAGATTCCTAGGGTCTACAATTTTCTTGTGATAGATAGCTCTTTACCGGTTGTCTCGTTTAGTTTGTATCCTGCGAGATGGTAGATGTTCATTACTTATGTTAATTTAAGTACATTTCAGCAGGAGGAAACTATAGCTTTTTAGCATAGCTATATAAATTTTCTTTTAGTTACTATTGGTCTTGTTTTTGTTTTGCATATGCGGCATATGTGCAAGGGTGTGGGACATGGATTGGAATAAACATCATATATAGATTTATAGGTGAAATTTTGTATAGCTCTTTTGTTGACGTTGTAATTCTTTATTGGAACTCTGTTATCTGTTGTCCCTTCTAAATTTTGTTCTTGAGTGTGTTATTAGAGTTTATCATATGTAAACTTAGCTCCTAAACAAAACTATCAAAAGTTTTAGATTTTCTACTAGATATTTGTCAGCCACCAAGTATTTTTTATGAGTTATGACCAGAAGCAGACCCAAGCAAATTGAGTCCAACTTGGCCCAGCACTCCCACGAGTCTTAGTGGACAAGGCTTGAACATAGATCCTGCTATCTAAAAAAGATTTTCCTCAGCCCGAGCCCAACCAAAAATATTTATTTTAGCTATTTTACACATTAAACTGCGCGGGCGATCTGCCTAGGCCCAAACTTGGTCCAAAAAATCAGGCCCGACTCGCTCGATGGGACGGTATAGGCAGGGTATTTTTGGTCCAAAACAACCAGGCTTTTTTTGCCCCAGCCCAAAGTAAGCCCGTCCCACTAAATGCTCAATTCTAACGGGAAGTAGTACTTATTTTATTATATTAGATTTAGATCCTTAAAAAACATAGGTGTATCTCTACGACTAAAAAGTTAGTAAGGGAATCGTCGCCCGGCGTGCGAAAAAATGCCCCTCGCGCCTAGATCACCCGGCGTGTGAAAACCCGGGTCTGATGATTTTTCCCGGCCACGTGCGATGCTCGGTAGCCCACTCGCTTCCCCGGCGCACGCATGATTTCCTCCCCACTGGCTTCCCCCGGCATGCGCTATCTCCTCCTCCAATCACGCGATCTCCTCTTCCAATCCAATCAAGTAAGGAAGCAGCCTCCAATCACGTACAAAGATCCGCGACATCCTTTCCCAACGCGACGCCATCGGCAGAAGGCAAACCTAAAACGCGACTTCCCCGCCGTTCTCCGCCCTCGCCGTCGTCGCGCACCGCGTCCGCCCGCGCCGTCGCCGCAACGCCGTGCCGAGAAGGAGAAGGCCCGATGACGGAGCTCTGTTGTCCTTGCCCTGCCCCACGTAGATCATCAGGTATTCATGTCCATCAGGCCGATCCACGTTGTGGTCGCGTCTTCTGGTCAGCATCGGCGTCGCGCACTCTAATCCGCATCCGCAGGAGCGCGAGGCGTCACCGTAGGCCGTAGCGGCTGCTACAGATGTTGTTTGGTGAGCATTCTTCTGGATCTCCATCGTATGTGTTTCCTCATCGTTCCAGCCAATGATTAAGGAAGTCGTTCCTAATCTCGCCTGATCAAAGGACGGCACAACGCGAAGGCGAACAGAGACAGCCTGATCATGTTGCGTCCATACGGAAGGACGTCGCTTCATCGAGGCTTGACGCCCAGGCAGGTAAGCCTCTGGTTACATGCCCACCACCTGTTTGTTTTATGTCATTGGTTGCTGCTGCCAGTCTGACTGTTGATGAATCGTTTTAGTGTCTGCTTGCATTCCAAGCCTTTGTTTGTGCTATACAAATGGTTTGTTTAATGGTTGCAATATGCCTCTGAACATTTCAAAGTGGAAAGTGATAACATGATAGAATTAATAGTTGGATTGCTAAGGACTACATCCTCCTTCCACTCTAGGACTTACAAGAACTATGAATCTAATGCAGTTATAAACTGTTCAATGGACTCTAAAAATAATAAATAAAAACAAGCTTATATTAGTGTCGCCTCACCTCTGCCCTCCCGCGTGTGATCGTCTCCTCGCTCCGCGCCCCGCTGCGATCCTGCTCCGCACCTTGCAATGCCGCTCCGCGCCGTTGATTCCGCGATGCCGCTGCCCTCCTCCATGGCCCCTGCGATTGCCGCTCCGCACTGAACCAACGAAAGGGAAGAAACCGGAATCTCGGGCGCCCAATCTCCTCCCCAATCGCCACCCACCATCGGCGCCGCCAGCACCGCCCTCTCCCTGCCCTGATCACGTTCTTTCCCTTCCTCCACGATCTCCGAGCGCACGTCGAACGCGGACGACGTCGGCCTCTTCCACGATCTCTGCGCAGACGTCGTCATCGATCTCCTCGCAGAAGTCGAACTCTACCGCGATCTCTTCTGCACGGACGACGTCGGCCTCCTCGACGATAAACCCCGAACGCAAACCCTGGACTCTGTAAAAGATGAAGCCTACCACAATCTCCTCGCACAGCGTAGTTCCCCCACCCTAGCCGTCGCAACCGCGCCGACGCCCTCGAGGTCGCACCCACGCCGCGGCCATCCTTGCCGTGAGGCAGGCAAGCAGTAGGATCTGCGCGCAACACGGCCGGGATCCACTGCTGGTCACCGCGCCCAATCTGGGACGAGGTGAGCCCCTCCCTCACTCTCCTCCTCTCCCTCTCCCTGTCCCTGCCCTTTCCCTCTCCCTCATTGTTTCTCCCTCTCGCAGTCACAGATGTTCGTCAAGGAGCCCGACGTCCGCGAGGTTCTACTGTACCGGCCGGGGCTGGTGACAGTAGCGACATCCTTCATGACCGCGGCCTCCGCAGTGTTCGTGCTGGAGGGCAACGCCGTCAGGCAGGTCGCCGACCTACGCCGTCGGCGTCGCGAGGCTAGGCCTGTCGGCTGTCGCTGCTCTTTATCCACATCTACGTCACCCAGATCAAGCGCTTCCTCCAGGCGCATTGGGCGGCCGGCCACTGGACGAGGGCCTGGTGCAGTGCGTGCTGGAGCACCTGGCCACGCGCTGGTTTGTCGGTGCCACGTTTGCTGCACTCACAGCGGAAGGTATATGCAAATGCTCCGTGTGTTTCTTATATCAGAATATGAGTGGTGTGAATGCAGTAACAGTGGCCATGCTCATGGTAGTCCAGTTTGCTAAAACCTTGCATTGCATTATTGTCCAATTTGTCAATAATGTTGATAGTAATACATCCATAATTAAGCCTTTGTTATTTCATTTCAGCCTCCAATTCAGTGGCTGGACATCCTAAATTTTTGCAATCCAACTTTCTGGTGTCATTGTTGCAGTGCAGAACATGAGGCTTTGGAGATTATCCAAATGTGAGTTTACTGAAAAACCGTATATTTAGTTCCTTGTAATTTATTTTCTTTTATAGGCATGATGCAGTAGTGTAATTTAGAGCAACAATTTAGATAGCAAGTGATGATGCAATAGTATGGTTGCAAATTAATTAATCCTGGTTCTTTCATCGTGATGTACTTGAGTGCTTTGAGAAAAGAAAACCAGTGACTTTGAGAAAAAGTCCTATTACTGCTTTGAGAAAAGAAAACCAGAAAAAGGTTCTTTCAGTTGTTATTTCACCAAACAACACTATAGTATTCTTTGAGATAACTAAAGAGCTGGACAACATGAAAGAGATCAAGGGAGGTGCGGCACCCTCCCCTTTGGGGCCTCCTGCTTCTGACCGGCGGCGCTCGGGTTCGTGGGGATGGTGCCCAGATCTGTCAGGAAGGGGTGGCTCCAACATGGCTGTGGCCACTCGACGATAAGGCCGCATCGGGCCTTCACTCTCTCTCGCTATCCTCACATGTTCGGGGCACCAACACAGAGGATCTTCGTTCGAGCAGTGAGGACTATTCGCTTGGCTTATAAGCCGTACTTTTTCAGCCAACGAACAATATTTCTCTCTCACAACAAATTAGCCAACAGTACTTTCAGCCATGGCTTATCAGCCAAGCGAACAGGGCATAGTTTATGAGTAAATCCAATGTAACTATGATCTAAGCTGTATTTTTGTGTGTAATGTAGTTCTTTCCGTAGCAGGTGGAATAAGAGTTCAGAATAATAACATGAGTACAATTTTTTTCCTTTTTTTATGAGATTATATCTTTGTTTATTGTTGACTCCGGTGGGCTATTTCCTTTGATCTGGCGAGGAGCATAACTTCCTTTACCTATGCTGCTTTTAATAACTTCGGTGTTCATATTAATTGGCTTATTCTGCATGCAACACCGTGGGAGATATAGTTGGGTGGGCATATGATAGATTTATGTTATTGTAAAAATTCCCAAGGTTTTCAAGTCGTTCTACTATGCCATTCGTAGAAAAATTATTGTTCCTTTCCTAACAACTGATTTGTAAATTGTAGCTAGGCCCATCACAGATCTATGTTATTGTATAAACTAATGGTATGTACTATTATTATTTTATATGATTTGTCCCTGGACTTCAAAGCCATGCCCATGCCCTCATTAACATGACAGCATGGTTCAGGCCAGCAAGTGCACTGTAGTGAGTTATGAATTGGAATATTTTCGGTTTATTAGTTTGTTCATGGAAGAGTCTGGATTTGCAGTACTGATCTGTCGCACATTACATGCATTATGCCATTATGTGTTTTCCTTCTAGCCCTATGCAAATCTATGGTGAGCTTCAAAACAAATTTTGGCTCTCTATTCCAATTTCTTTTGTGCTGATACATGTATTCCTAAGCAAACCAATTTGGGTGAATATATACATGGAGTTTGCCTCCACGTGTGCATTTTCTAACACTGTTGGTTCATATATATTTCTTGTGTTTTCTTCTAAGGTTGTTGGGCTCCAGTGCGACACCTTGAGAAACTGGCATCACCAGCATGTAAGGTTAGGGTCCAAATCACTTGCAAATGAGATAGTAGGGCTGGATCAGGTATGTCATTCAGCCACTTACCGTTTTTCTTTTCCATTCAGATTGCTCATGGCTAATTAATGTGGATTGTGTTTCTGAATTTCTATTTCCTAATTGGTATTCAGGTGCCAGGTACGAGTGCATGATCTGCGCCGCAAGGACTGGTGAGGGCCACAGACCAGGTACATGCATGCCCGTTGAATTGTTTTCTGTTACAACGCATGGGCAATTTATATTATGATAAACCTGTGTATACATGATGGTATAAAGATACGGTGGAACTTATTTGTGGATTTATTAGCGCATGAAAGAAATGGGTATCGGAGATTTATTTCTGTCGATATAAAATATTATCTTAGTCGCATCATGCAAAGGTCTATACGGTAGAGTTTATGAGCCTATGACGCCGCGCTCTCCGTGACTATATTAATTTCACGAACTTTGCCTTTTAGATTAAATATCACTTTAGCGTTGATATTTAATTTTATAGCATTGTTATGTTATCGTGCGATCTATGTGATTTTAGTACAAAATTTAGTTTTTCCGTAACAATGCACGGGCACGGACCTAGTGAAGCATGAACCACATAAATGCCTACGGGAACAGCTCGCATGTGTTTGAAGCTGTGCACTGTTGATACAACGTGCATACAAAACCGTAAAGTGCATTAGTGCATAGAAACACCATAAATTGCAAACGTGCAACTATATTAATGAAATTGCTACATAATTTCCAAAATTTTCACTATAACTCCCATTTTCATGTCTCCAAATTAGGGTACAAATGGTATGGATATTTTCGGACCATATTAGAGTCCTAATCAATTTAGAGAAGTTCAAATCCGTCTGTATCCAAGTTCAGATATTCAGCATCCGATGCTGTATCTGTACCTAAATACTCAAATAATAACATATTTATGATGTCGATATTCATTCGTATCCTATCCGACATAGTTGAAACTATCCTTATCCGAATCTAAATCCAAAAAGAAATATAGGATCAGCGATATCACTCCATATTGGATCCGTTTGCACCCCTACTCCCTATAGAACAAAGCCTTGAAATGAAACGAACTTTCAGTCCTCATTTCTGCCACTTCACATACTCTGTGGTCCAGTGTGGAGCTTCACTTCACATGAATCTTTTGGGGACAACATTGGTAAAATAGATAAGTTAGCCATATTTAAGCTAGATATTTTTGGGTGAAGGGGGCGGCATTATCGACAAAAATATTATCCGAGTGTTGTTTAGCCATATTTAAACCTGAGTTTATAGTATGTTCTTTTCTCCCCTCCCAACCACCCACCATACCACACCCAAAAAAATATCAACCACGTATGTCAGCATAAGCTAGCTGTAAGGAAAATGGACTCTAGGCACATTTCCTTTATATTTTGGTGACTGATGACCAACATAACTAAATTGGACTAATGAATTTGCAAGTGATTGTTTTGTAGTCCAATAGGGTGCAAGACATGACTTAGACGAAGGCAACATGATGATCCGATGATCAACACCATAAGCAAGACCCTAGGAGCACAAGAGAAGACCCAAGATATCAAGCAAAGTCCAAGCACGAAGATAGGAACCAAGCCGTACACAAGATCGCGAAGAAACGAGCTCACAGAGGTGACCGGACGCTGAACCGGACGCTGAACCGGACGCTGGCAGAAAGCAACCGGACGCTCCGATCAAGAAGCTCGGCAACAAGCATCAGCAGCAGCGACCGGACGCTGGCGGTAAATCGATCGGACGCAGAACTGCAGCGTCCGATCGAGTACTGAGAGGTTCTAGAGCGGCGAAACTGCAACCGAACGCGTCCGGTGGCATGTGACCGGACGCTGGCAGCGTCCGCTCAATTGATCGCGGCTCTAACGGTTGGGACGACCGGACACGTCCGGTCAGGACGTGATCAGCGTCCGGTCAGTAGCAGAAAAGTGGGATTTCATTCCCAACGGTTACTTTTTCAATGAGGCTTATAAATACAACCCCCAACCAACCAAATAAAGAGTGTGGAGCTGAGAAAACATACCAAGAGTGTTGATACACCATTTTAGTGATCTAAACTTGCATAGTGCTTAGTGTTTTATTAGGTGATTAGCGTAGGTGCTTTGCAAAGTGCTTATGTTGATTAGACCACCGCTTATGCGCTTGCTCTAGGTTTAGGCCTAGTGTTTAGTGAGGTTTGCATACCTCTTACCACTCGGTGCTTACGCGCACCATTGTTGTACATCGGATGGGCTTGTAGTCTTGCGAGATCACACCAACCGCGTTTGTGGTGTGGCCGCCACCGTGTACCGAAGGGAACAAGGCCCGCGGCGTTTCGGCCGGAAGCTTGATAGTGAAGACGGCGGGGAGCATCCGGGAGAGGCTTGCCGGAAGGCACGTCGGAGACCCACTTACGCGCGTGGGAAGGCCCGAGGCTATCCACGGAGTTACCCGACCGGG